GGAGACTAATTGCGAGTTGCGCAATTAAGCGTAATGAGCATATACCTGTGCGGTGAAGTCAGCGGCACCCTTGGGCGGGTTGTTCTTGGAGTCTCCGGCGACGTATCCACGGCGCAATTCCTTAACGGACACGTTCTTGACGTTGAAACCAACGTTGTCGCCGGGCACGGCCTCCGTCAGAGCTTCGTGGTGCATTTCGACGGACTTAACTTCAGTGGTCAATCCAGCGGGTGCGAATGTAACGACCATACCGGGCTTCAGTACACCAGTCTCGACACGACCGACGGGTACTGTTCCAATACCGCCGATCTTGTACACGTCCTGCAATCATAAAAAGAAAAAAAAACATTAAAACATCATTCCGTTTCAATAAAGTCAATCATTCATTTTATATCTCGTAAAAATCAGACGAATTCTGGCCATCAAGGGATTACAAAATCCTCCGGTGGAAACCACGAATGAAATTACAAAGATATCATCATGTAAAATTGCTCGTACAAAGATTGAGAATCGCGTGATTAAAAGGATATTTAGATATTACCTGAAGGGGAAGACGGAGTGCCTTGTCAGTCGGTCTAGTGGGCGGCAGGATAGCGTCCAGAGCTTCGATAAGGCATTTACCTTCGGCCTTGCCTTCCTTACGCTCCACGGCCCATCCCTTGAACCAGGGCATCTTGGCGGACACCTCCAGCATGTTGTCTCCGTGCCAGCCGGAGATCGGCACGAATGCAACAGCGGCCGGGTTGTAGCCGATCTTTTTGATGTAGGACGAGACTTCCTTCTTGATTTCCTCGAACCGGGTCTCGGAGTACGGGGGCTCGGTAGAATCCATTTTGTTCACACCGACGATCAACTGTTTGACGCCGAGGGTGAAGGCGAGGAGGGCGTGCTCGCGGGTCTGTCCGTTTTTCGAAATACCGGCCTCGAACTCGCCGATACCGGCCGCGACGATCAGCACCGCGCAGTCGGCCTGGCTGGTGCCGGTGATCATGTTCTTGATGAAGTCACGGTGACCGGGCGCGTCGATGATGGTGACGTAGTACTTGGCCGTTTCGAATTTCCACAGGGCGATGTCGATGGTGATGCCGCGCTCGCGCTCCGCCTTGAGCTTGTCCAGCACCCAGGCGTACTTGAACGAGCCCTTGCCCATCTCCTGCGCCTCCCTCTCGAATTTCTCGATCGTCCGCTTGTCGATGCCGCCGCATTTGTAGATCAGATGACCGGTCGTCGTGGACTTGCCGGAATCCACGTGGCCGATCACCACGATGTTTATGTGGATCTTCTCCTTACCCATGATGATTGAGGCTCTAGCTACCTGCTGACACAAGTTGTCGAGAATTCAGTAGTGAGCTATCGATCGAGCGATACACGCGGCGGCGGTGTATCGATTTTAAAGTTGCTTTAATGCTTGTGCTAAAACGTGATTTAATATACGAGTAGCACATAATATGTTTCTCTCTATAGGATAGACCGTGGCGCAATATCCGTCTATAGGCTGTCTACTAAATCGGTCGTACATTGTAGACTCAAGGGAAGGCATTTCAAGCCAGTGTTGAGCCTCCACGCACATATTCAGCTATAGAATGTTCTAAAGCTGTCTCATGGGTCTTAAGCTTATGAGTAATCCGCACATGTAAATAGACAGGAAGCAGTAACTATTTTTAATAATTATCTGTTTTCGCGCTTAGAAAATAATAACTTATATAGTTTAATATTAGTATTGAGTAAACGATAATAGCTTCGTGTAAAGCAATGTGTGACATACACAATAATTAGTAGTTTTATATATTTAGATTAAAGGGAGAGATACCTCTAGTACATTGTATCAAATCATTGTATTAAATCGCGCATTCGATAAATAATAGGGTATTTTTTAAAGATTTTGAAGAACAAAATTTACGTTAATTTAATTTAATGTAATTTAACACAATATGTAATCACTTTTTATTTCACCAATATCTACCATCTTGAAGTCAATTTTTAATTTCATTTTGACAAACATGCCAGAACAAGAAAAAAATAAAATAAATGAAGATAATTAGAGAAATAATTTCTTAGGTAATTATATCTGCCATACGATATTTGTAACATGCATATATCTATATTTAGGTCGTTCGATAAACAATGTCCTATTTATTTTATTTATGTCTGGCATGTTTGTCGAAATGAAAATAAAAAATTGACTTCAAGGTGGCAGATACCGATGGAATAAAGTGATTACATATTGCGTTAAATTAAATCAATAAATGTAAATTTTGTTTTTTTTAATTAAAAAAAGTTACTCTTACTTATTGATTGCGCGATCCAATATTTGATACAATGTATCTCTCCCTTGAATCATATAAATCTATAATTACTATATATTTTCTCTGTGATTTTTCTATATTGATACTTAATGTACTACCAATAAAATTTAATCGTAACTGTTGTAATTGTAATATAAATTTTTATGTTCACCTTTAATAAAGCACCAGAGAAAAGTTTCACGCGTTATGCGTTGATCGGATGCATTAAAGAGACGATAAATATTGACGCGCGAGAACGGAGGACCTCTTGCAAGCTACAAAGGGTATTGATTCGTTTCAAGGAGAGACCCACGCAGGGCTTGTAAACTCACTCTCTCTCCTCCCCCTCCTCTCCTCCTCCCTCTCTCTCTCTCTCTCTCTCTCGACGTACGTGTATAAATATGAGTGGTATCGGATCGAGCGTGCGCGGTTATTCGCCGGATCTCCGCCGAGGCAATCGCAATACGCCGCGGAAAAACAATTTCGGCTCGATTACATCAATTTGAGAGGGCTTAATTAGAGTAGCCGGCCGCATTCCAATGGACTCAAATCGGATCGTATAACGCGGCCCAGGTAATTCCTGTCCCGCGAGTCCGCCTTTTAGATCAATAAAGGGTGTACGCTGTCCTAGCAATCTCGATCTACATATGGGGTGCGGTGCCATGGGATAGATTAAAAATTGCATTTTCCCTGAATGACAAAAATTAAAGACCGAATTAAGCAGACAGTGTCAGATTAATGCCGGATAGAAGGAATTTTCGCTTAGTTTCTGTAAATAGTATTTGAAGATGATTATTTCATTGGTTATTATTTCTCAGAAAATTCTTGGCATTAATTAGATTAATTAGTAATTATCGGAAATAATTTGTCTGTTTTTGAAAATAATCGCAATTAAAATTTCGAAGTTTCCCATTTTAATAAAAAAAAATTTTTGAGACCGATGCAGCATTAAAGATGGATATCACTTCTATTTATGATGATTAATTGTTACAGTTCAATTTCAATTAAATTAAATTACGCAGCATTCAATTGGACCGAAGTTTAATCAATATTGATTACAATTCATTTTCTTTTTACATCCAAAAAGCACAAAGATTATTATCTAGAAAAATAGGAGATAGTTTTAATCAAATTATTAGGGATTATTTATCTTAAGATTCGCGTTATATTTTATAAATTATTGTTTATGCCAGAAGTGTACACCATATAATTGAAGAGAGAAAATCGAATTGACTGGTCGAATTAATCGGTACCGACCGACTCGTAGAAAATCAATGTCGTGCAATTACTTGCACTAATCCTCATTTCGCTCGCTTGCAACTTATGTCTTACCGTAACGCGTACCGGCCTGCCTTTTCTAATAATAGTCACAGCCCCACGAAGGCGGCCATTTCTCAGCGGCGATTACTTGCTCCGAAACATCGGTGTCTTTTACGATGCCACTATCGCGGATTTCCATTTGAAATTACCAATGCCTGAGAGCTACCCTTTTTTGCGAGAGTTACCCTCTATTCACTCGTATGAACGGTCGTGCACAATCGGATGCGATTTTTCTCTCTCTCAGTGCATTTTGGGGAAAAAACACATCACGAGTCCGATGCGGGGTATATTAAAACGACGCGATTACGACATATCGCGCAACGAGGTTAAAATCCCGAGTTACCGTCTCGGCTTTGGTACCACTTACCGATCGACTGTTGCCCGATCAATCGATCGGAACGACGCACCCCCGAACCTGCACCAAAACCCCTGCGGGGGAGGAATCACGGCACCCAGGAGGTTCGCGGAATTCGCTCAATCGAACCTGGTCGCTAACGTAATGGCCGGCTCTCCCGTCGTCGGGCACTATCGCGGCTCGCACCGGGAAACCCTTGACCTGCGGCAGACACCCCCGGCTCGGGAACGGCGGCTCGCGGACGCGCGACGAGGGCGGATTCACCCCGAGAGAAGCGGCGCGCCGGCTCGAATCGATACTCTCGCAGGCTGGCTGGCTGACTAGCTCGGCTGGCGAACGAAACCGGCTTGCGATCGAGCTTGCACGCAACGAGAGCCGATCGAAGGCTCTTCGCCTGCCTGTCACAGGCTGGAACGTTCTCTCGAATTTCTGGAGCTGATTAGCGGTTCTTGCAACACAGGGTGATTTACTTACCCGAGGATTCGACGTCGATAGATTCTCTCCGCTCCTAAAATCACCGCCGGAGCTCTGCCACCCGTCCTGCCGCGCACGCAAGCTTGCGGGAGCGAGAAAGAGGGTAGAATGGGGAGAGGGAGGACGAGACGGACAGAGAGGAAAAGACAGAGAGAAAGCTCTACCTGGATCCGCCGCGAGGGTAAAGGGGTTGGAGGGGTGAACAAACGACTACGATGCCATCTGAAACGTGCCGCGGCGCTTGCGCCCGCACGGTCTCCGGGTCCGCGATACCTCTCGATTGGTCCCCGACCGGCCGGCGAGCGTCTATTTTCCTCTTCGACGAGGACAAAAGAACGACACTGACACACCGTCGTGGCAAACGATCGTTGGCCGCTCTCGCTCGTTCGTTCGCGATGCCAGAGAGAAGCCTAAAGAGTATCACATGCCCGCGTTTCAAATGAAACGCCCGTCCAGTAGCGCCTCAACATGCACATTGAACTACGTAGTCATGTCCGCAAATATTCTCAACGAGTAACACGCTATGTGTTCACGGTCTTCGATCTTTTGCCTCATAGGTCTTCAAAATAGTTTCCTATAAAAAATAGAAAATAAAAAAATATCATGCTTGTTCGATTCCTTTTTTAATATCGGTTGCTCCGTTTTTATCAAGTATAAAATTGTAATTAGAGAAATTAATATGTAAATTTTTTTACGCGAAATATAAATAAACTGTATACTTCTTATTCGTTATATTCAATATTTCAGGATTTTATTTCTTAGGTTTTTTATTTACATGTATTTATTTCATTTACACGTATTTAATTGTCAATATTGTCTGCATGATAAGAGCATACATATTCAATGTAGAAATCCATAGAACGCGAAACGCAGATGATCTACAGTTTTTATCTGTTACCTTTTCATGGAGTTATTTCATGGAGCCTTTCCGAAATTTGACATTATAGGCACACCAATTAAGCTAACGAAATATAGTGCAAGTTACAAGCATAATTATTAAAAAGAACAACACATAGAACACTATTAGAGCTTCTATGTATAATTAACGATTTGTAAAAGGCCTTCTAGTAAAATAAGCTTTCAAAGAAAAAGCACTTATAAAACAGTATTTTTAGAAAATAAAAACAGATTTATAAATGCATTTAAAAAAAAGTTTAATTTATAACTTCATAAAAAAATACGCTATATCGAAGTATTTTCTCTTTTATGTTATTATTATTACAAAGTAACGAGATGAAATGTATTCTACTTTTTTTATTATTGACAAATGAATATCCCATCAATGCTTGTTTTATAATGCTAATTAAAAAAAATAATTAGACAAAATTTCACGGTCCAATAATTCGCATTTCTTTATAATATATATGTTATAATCCTGGAATATTTTTTTGTGAATCAAAAGTTAATTAAAACTTTGTACTTATATAATTTTTTATTTTTATATGTAAATATAATAAGAAATATAAATTTTTATATAAATATAAATTATAAATATATTAATAATTATTTATATTTATATAGTTAAAAATTAAAAATTTATAAATTTGTGTATGAGAGCGAGCGTGGCAGCTAGATAGCGCACTGGTTTGATATGCTAAAGATCTCGGATTCAATCCCAGGCAGAGCCAAAAATTTGTTCTTGTCTCCTTTCCGTGGGCCTGGCGAACCAACGAGAGTATATTCTAAATTAAAAGGAACAGAGATGTTTGAGGTTTAAAATCTGACCTCCGTGATTTGTAAAGGCAATCTTGTTAGAGTATTTTCCTAACTAAATTACCTGTACAAATCACGATGGTAAAGATTTTGACGTTGTGGATTAAAAAGGATAACAAGTTAAGTATTTACCACATAATAAAATTATTAATATGATATTAAATAATATAGTACAGTTTGCGCGCAATTCGGTCTGATTCATCGATTGATTGATTAATTCATTTATTCATTGATTGATTTTTAAATTTTCGTTATTTTTATATTATTTAAATTCAAATATTCACAATTGAGAAATAATCGACGATTTTAATTAGAGCGCGGTTAACATAAATTTTTCTCCTTTAATGATATGATTCTTTTTTACTTTGAATTGATTTAGTATACAGTTCTTGATCGAAAAAGTTAATTCGTTCATTGCGTGTATAATATTATTGAAAATTAAAAACACAATTAAAAGTTAAATTTGAATTAAGTTTGATCAATATTCCATTATCTAATAAACGTGTAATAACCATTTATTCCTTTTGCGCTTAAATATAAATTAATGCGCTTTTATTGACAATCGTAACGATTCCGATCGAAACAGTCTATAATAGAGATAATCGATCAAAATATATAATTAGTATAGTATGAGCAGATATACGATTGGACAATTTAATTGCATGATAGGATACCGGTAAAGCTAAAATAGTTAACTTTAAGAAAATTCATATAATGCTACAAATATTAAGGAAGGAATATATCAATAATTTTTTATTTTCGAGTTTCTAGTCAACCAGTAGTTTTATACATTTAACAGACTTTGTTGTGATAAAAAATATAAATTTCAAATCTTATGTATAGTGTAAATAATGACGTATATTATAAATGACTGTCGACTTGCAAAATTTGATAAACCTATGAGAATGTAATTGTTTATTGTCAATTTGTAATTTTGTTGTATCTTTTTATCACGTTTTAATTAAATCACGTATTTACAAATTTAAACTTTTCTTCATAGTTTCAAACATATAGTTTACAGACGAGATTTACAAATCTTGGAATTTTTCAACAATTCCAAGAAATGCAATTCGGAGAATTCGGAATTTTAACTAGCAAAATTAATGGTTTGAATATCTTGTTTGATAAAGTTTGTAATAACGTCATTTTAGACTATACATTTATTGTTCCTAACGAGAAGACAAATACAGCTAGTGATGAGGCCCACAAATAAGTGATCACTAGTAGACAGTAGTTGTTACCCATAGATTTAATTAAGTCTCTACACCATATTAAAGTTATGATCATTTTAGAAGCTTTTTTATTTTTTTCTCTTTTTCATATTTTCTGTTTTTAAGCTTTTTAGAGATATTAAACACTGCGTGACTTTTACGAATTTTCTGATAATGGTTGCTTAGATACTTTTTCCTCATTTTTATTTGTCAATAAGATAAATCATGGGTAATATCATCTATGTTTCTCGAAAACGGTTTCTTTCTGAAATGACTGAAATCATTACAGCATTACAGCTACATCGTCCTATTAATTTTTTGCGTGTCAAGCAAGCGGCGAGACGCGACACGGCGCTAACGTTCTCCCGACTCTCAGGCAACAGGCTTGATGTGAACTGTCGCGAGCGCCGCGCGTACGTGCCGTTTATATACTACCCTACCTCGCGCATACACGCCAAGCGCTCTGATTGGATGTACGCTAGCTTCCGAATTGAGTATATAAGCGAAACGCTAGGCAGTGGAGCGCTCTTTGCTTATGGGACTCCGACGCGTCGCGTCGCGCGCCGAGCCGAGCCCGGAGCCGCCGACGCAACGAGGTTCGATTTTCAAAAGCAAATGAAGATTTTCGGCCTCTTGCCTTATATAATATTTCCCACCCGAGAAGCAGCGTCTATTCAATTAGAATGCTTGAACGCAAAGAGCGGCACTGCACGCCGCACGAACGAGACGTCGCGACACGTCGGAGTCCCATAAGCAAAGAGCACTCCACTGCGTAGCGTTTCGCTTATATACTCAATTCGGAAGCTAGCGTACATCCAATCAGAGTGCTTGGCGTGCGGCCGCGGCACTGCGCGCTCATTAGGTGGCGCGCGACGCGCGCGATAGTTCACATCGGGCCTGCTGCCCACTGCTGCCTGAGTTGAGACTTGAGAGTCGGGAGAATGTTAGCGTCGCGTCGCGTCTCGCCGCTCGCTAAGGATACGTTCGCTATGACACGCAAAAGGATAAGGACGATGTAGCTGTAATGCTGTAATGATTTCGGTCATTTCAGAAAGAGAACAAATCGTTCTAGGAGCAAATTTTGTTGGTATGCTCAAAAATTAATTTATATATGCATTTATATATGGTTTTCAGCCTACGAGAAAAAAGCGTCGCGGCGACGATGGCGCGACGACGCTGTACATCTTGTTTTTCGCATAGTACGCATTCAATCGAATCAGTGTAAATGTCGAATCTATATTACGCGACTTACAATGCAAGTTTGACACAATTACCTATCAATTAAAGGAGTCGCGCGGCGTCACTCAATTCGTTTCCGATGCGGTTAAATTCACGCGTCAAGAACGACGCGGCGCGCGGCGTCGCTATCGTCCGCGCCGCCGTGCCACTCATTTAACTTTTGAGGCGTAAAGTTGGCCGTGCAGGGAACGAAGCACTTGATTGACGCCGCAACTCTTTTGATTAATAAGCGAATAATTGAATCAATCTTGCATTTAACTCACGTAATATAGATTCGTACTCTGATTCGATCGAATGCGTATTTCATTCGACCGAAAATCAAGATGTGTTATAACGTCGCCGCGCGCCACTGTCGCCGCCACTGTCGCCGACGCCTCGCCGCGTCACTTTTTGCGCGTCACTTTTGGTTTGCCACCGGCACGAGAAAGGTCGCCTCCGATTCTCCAGAACGAGTGATTTATTTAACTGGTAGAGAAATTTATATTAATTTTGCATTTTCCATTTATTGCTATAAAAAACTATCGCAAAATATATATTTGATGCTGGAATATAAAAAAAATCATTAAAATACGTTTTACTTGTTTAGCCGAAGATGTATCGCGCGAATAATCGGCAAAGCAACGATTATATTTTAGAAATTATAAATATAATCGCGGATATCTTTTATATATATTTAAAATGTGGGAAATGCGTAAACGCGAATATCGAGTAGAACGCGTAGTGATATCAAAGGCGAGGCATCACGACGGCCGGCCATCCTACTCTTATCTTTGCGTTTATGCATTTTTGCACATTTTAAATATATAACTAATACACGCGCTTATTGCACGTAATAATAATTGTTATAAGAGGCGCACGTATGCATTGATATTTCGTTCGAACGCGTATTTCCGCGATACTCGTTCGGCCGAAAATCAAGTCGTGAAATGTAAATTGTTGCACCGACGCCGCCGCCGCGTCGCCGCGGCGCTGTTGGCGCGCGAAGTTGTCCGCGCGAGAGACGAAGCCGCTTCGCCATTCTAATAGCGTTTCCTTTGCATTTTTAGAACGTGACGGACGCGAAACAGATCGGATCTGGAGTAAAGGGCGTCGCGACTGATATAATTGCATGGTAAGTGAAATTTGTATTTGTATTTCTCTGACACGCTATGTAATAGAATCAACATGCATGCATTGATATTCGTTCGAACGCGTATCTCGCAGTATTCGTTCGGCCGAAAATCAAAAGGTGAAACGTCGCTGTGCGCTTCGCGCCGACGCGTCGCTGGCATTGTTTTGTCGCTGCGCTTATTTATTTCGTTAAAATTAATAACTGCACGCGAAACAAAACGCCCTGCTTTGCCATCTTTTTATTACATTAATTACGATTTTATTACAGAAAGCAGCAGCATGTACACGGGATAAATCAACTCCGAAACGGATTTATCACGACTCATTCCGGGAGGGCATCGAGAGATTCTAAAGCAGTATCCTATGCAGCTGATATGCCGGACAACATGAGAGGAGGAGGAGGCCTAGAAGAGGCATCTGGCCCCGGCGGAGCAACCTTAGGGTAAATATCATTTTTTATCTGCACAAAATTAATAGTTCTTCCTTATGCATTCGGGTCGTTTTATCTGAATTTAAAAATCTGAATAAATAATAAATGATAAATTACAAAATAATTATAGAGACAGAACTTTTACAAGTATAAGTTTATTTTTGTTTTTTTCTTCAATCTTTTGAAAAAATAAATAATTATATTAATAAAGACTAATTAAAAGTTCAATGCGTTGAAAAATTACCTTTCACATATTGATTATTTTGAGCGCTGTTTTAATTTGAATTCAATCAATTCCTGACTATTCATGAAACTTAATCAAATCTCTACTGTTCGGTTCAGAACAAAATTAACATAAAATTTTACTTTTACTTGAGCATAACTCTTATAGTTTTTTGCACAGTAATTACTAATCACTCTAGTTACATCCTCTTCTTATTAACCTCTGACCTATTCAGTAATATCTTAACTATATCTTACAGATATTCCCCACGTCATATCAGAACAACGAGGAAGCTAACATACTCGTCGCCGACTTAATTAAAAATACAAACCGCGTCGCGCGTTTGCTTCGGGAGTGCCGTAAACTTTTATTAATAATTAGTTCGCGCGCAATTGTCCGGGAGTGTTCCTCGCGAGTGTCCTACGCGAGAGCTGCGAGGGAAGAAGAAGAGGATCTTACAATCCTGAGAGGAGGACGGGGCCTAGGAGAGGCATCCGGCTCTGGTGGAGCAACTTTGGGGTAAATATAATTTTTAGCTATATAAAATTATTAATTTTTTTTTTCATTTATTTGTACCATTATTTATATCAATAAATTAATAATTAGAGAGAAAAACTTATATAAAATTTTAAAGATTATTTTTGTAAAGATGTTTTCGGAAATAGATGATTATATTATATATAATAAATATCTTATTAAAAAATGAAGAAAAAATTTGATGTGTGAAAGAATTATCTTTTAAAAAATAAATTATTTTGAGAGCTGTTTTAATTTGAATGTTATGTTTGTGTGTTACAGTATCATCGTAGCTTCGTGGCAGATAACTCCGCCCATTGCGCTTCGGGTTGGTGAGTGAAACATTTTTTATCAGATGTAAGGGTGTGAAAAGGTGCTATCTTATTATCAATATAATACAAAAGCACGTAATTGTATAATATATACAAGTTTTACAGATTTATTGCTCTAAATTATTTAAATTAATATAATCAAGATGTAATTGCGACAATTTTGATTAGAACGCGACTAACGTAAAATTTTTATCATTTTGTGATGATAATATTGCTATTAATTCTTTTTACGTTTTATCGCTTTGAATATTATTCTTAATCAAAAAAGTAAATTTGCGCATTTATTATTAATTTGCGTATATATTATTAAGAAACAAAATACAAAATTGTATTAAATTTAATTAGTGTTCTATTAATGATTGTTTGTTTTATTCCGATACGATTACGTGCTCTTAATTATTGTAATATTCGTAATCAATCGTAACATAATTATTGCCTGGTGATGCTGTTAATCAGCTGGCAAAGGAGTTTTATCTCCTCATTCTGTGGCTGACATATAGTCAGATTGAATTTGGCCAGGCACAGCGTAATAGGTAAGTCCAATCTGGCCAAAAAAAACTACGCCACTGTCTTGTAAAGTAAGGTCTATATTGACCAAATTGAAAATACGTGCGTATTTGTTGATATTAAAAATTATTACTACAATTATTACGATTACGGGGGGTTATTAATCGGGAGGGAAAATTGCTCGCATATTAAATAGCGAATTTTTATATTTTTCAAATTAGTATCTACTTGCCATATTTTTCCTAATCGCGGTAATCCCGTTAGATTTAACCAATATATAATATATATTAAATACTTATGTTTTTTTTTTACTATAGAAATTATATACTACAATCTTAGAACATATATTACTGGAAGGAGAATAGAGTGCTGAACGTGAAGCCAACATATGTACGAGAGAGAAATGTATAGATTCCCAATTGTCTGTAATGCGCATGTACCACTCAGCCCGTTTTGCCTAATTTCTTATTTTTCGAAAATCTTTTTAAAAAAAATGAAAAACGGGACTAAGTGGGGGCTGAATGGCACATGCGCATTACAGACAATTGGGAATCTATACCTTTCTCTCTCGCACATATGTTGGCTTCAGCTCGATGCATGGACGGTAGGCAATTCTGCTTCCAGTAATATATGTTCTAAGACTACAATATTATGATTGGTGGGAAGGGGGTTATTAATCGGGAGGGTAACTTGTGCTTGCGAATTAAATCGCAAGTACTTATATTTTTTAAATTATTGTCTATTTCCTATATTTTATTTAATCAGTTATCTCGATGGATTTAATCAATACCTAAAAGGATGTATATTTGTTATTTACGATATGTCATAGAAATTATGCGTTATGCAATATTATGATTGAGGGAGGGAGTTATTAATCGTGAGGGTAACTTACTGGCACAAATTAAATTGCTTATATGTTTTAAATTATTGTTTGTTTCCTATATTTATCCATTAGATATATTGTATAAATTTTATGTAATATTATGTCCAGATAAATGTCGTTACTACTTTTGTACGATGATCAATGAATTATCTATCTATAATTTCAAATATTTTGGTATACATATTGAATATTTATTTGATGCATTTATCTGGCCTTAATAAGCCAAATTATCGTTAATAATGTAAATTTTACGAAATCGATGAAATGCGTATGATAACAAGAAATTTATTAAATTAATGTATTTTATAAATATTTAATTTTAAAAGTTTTAATTTCTAAACATTTAATTTTATTTTAGTCGAGAGCCGAATGGTCATTAATAATTTCGGGTAAAATCTTAAATTTGCTGTTTAAAAGTGTTATCAATTATTTTTATAATTTATAATATACCAATTTATGAAATTTATTAAATAAGATATATAAGATTTAACGTTTAAGCTTTGGCTGAGCCAATGATCAAATATTAACTTACAAAATTTGTGACGGTAATATTTGTGAAGTTGTTTTCTTGATTTTTGCAACGCGTTAAACATTCCTTAACGAATATGTTTAAATTGTATATTTAGGAATATTCCTAAATTACATTTATAAGTAGTTCTTAAAAAATATTTAAACATTTATTAATGGCAATTGCCATCGTCTATTTCTCATTCTTCTGGGGTGATTGTTACTTCAGCGATGAGGTCTCATCATTGTTCCTCGTCAGGTGGGTGTTAGCAAATGCGTGATTCGTATCAGTGGAAAATCGAAACGATTTCCATCGTGGAGAGTTATTCTCACCGATGTTCATGAGATCTATTCACCATATCTACTTTGATGTCCCGTTGAAAGTTGAAGATTTTTATTACAAGGTCGGAAATAATTCTGCGTTTTATTGGCAGTTTCTGAAAATCTTTATTTTAACAATAAAACGATAACCATTATACTATATTTTAAAATCGAGTCGTGAATTTCAAATAATAGTATATTTTTAGATAAAATTTTCTATTATTTTTTACTAAATGTTTTTCGGTTAGTATCAATATTAACTTCAGTGTTGTTTCAATGATATTAAGACATAGAATAAATATGGGTATAATGATTTGTAATATATTTCAATTATTAGTAAATGAATTCAAGCTTTATATAATTAATTTGCCTATTTTTTTTGACAATTTCATAAAAATATGGTTACAAATGTATATATTTAATTCTGTACTAACTTTTAATTTGTTTCAAAAAATCATTTTTAGGTACTTTTAGGTACTGGACATCCCGGCCATGTTCTAGGATATTATAATTAATTTAGTTGTAGCAATTCATACTTCTTTATAATAAAATACATGCACATATTATAAAATCTGTTTAACAAATTTAAATTTTTGTTGACTTATAATTAAATATAATTTTACTTAAAAGATTTGTAATCTTTTGTTTTAAGAATCTTATCGTGATTATATGAATGTCATTAGAAATGTGCGGTTATAAAAAATTTGAGATAAGTCGAATGGGTACCTCCATATCAGTGGGAAATCAACAACTAAAATTTTTAAAACGTTATAGAAAACTAGAGAACTGTTAAGTGTTATACTGCTTGAATTATCAATACTTAATATTCCCGCTATTATGGGGCTCGACTAATCTCGAACATTTGTACCCGTACATATAATAAGCTACACAATAACGCATGTATTTTATTATTATTAAATATATTCCTTCGTAACCACTATTCCATAAGAATTCATTTTATCCATAAATTTTTTAATAAAAAAAGATGATTTTTTTTTAAATAATTGAAAAGAAGATTTAAATAGAGAGATAGAACATTTTTGCGTGCTAATATTACTTATTAAAACGATAAAAATGATTACTGTTATTGATATGCTGTCAAAATTATTATTTTATTATCGTGATCTAGAAGCAGAATTCATTCCCTCCTGTAACAAAATCGCTGCGTTTGACGGAACGCTTAACTTTTTTTTGTGGAATTTAATACAGAATAGAAGCACATTGAGTTTCACATTCTCCACCATGGAAGTTGTTCGTATTTTGTTAGTACTCGGATACTAACCAGCGTACCATTCAATGGAGGAATTTACCGGAATTCACCTTGATATTATCAAATAATTGATCAATTATCCACCCCCTGAACACGATAAAAACGTTGTCATTTTTTACTGTCTTTTATGGTTATAGAGCTTTAGAATAGAGTTTTAAAAATTAAAACCTTAAAGACAGTCGTTTATATACATTTATTGATAAATCATATAATTCGTATTATTATCGAAATCAAGGATAAACGCATTCTCACGAAAAGTGCATAATATTAAATCATATTTATTATTTTAGCAAGAGTTATTGCTAAATAAATTATTATAATTATGAAGAATTCGCGTTACATTGGCATTTTATACCTTCTTTGAAAAGTACTATCGCGAATATTGTCAATCGATTTGTTCATTGCTTTAATCAGTACTATCTTTTTACCGTTTCTAATTTAATCATTAGCTTATCCTAAAGCTTTGCTTATTTTTTCGTGCGTTGAAATATTTCCATAGAAAATTTTATATAATTTATTAATACGAATGATAGATTAGAGAAACATAACAGATAAAATGACTTATTAACAATTTTTTTGTATTGCACGATACTGCTTACGTTAAATTTAATAAATTTTATATAATTGCAAGTTGAAAATTAAAAATAAATATGATTTTATTACCGTCAATGTTTCACTTTATTTATTTTTCAACATATTTTA